CCGCCGCGCGCGCCTTAAGAAGCCGCCGCGAGCGGCCCCGCTCGCTCCTACGTCAGGGCGCGCGGAGAAGCCCCCACCCGCCGCCTCCCTTTCGGTCCCCCGCAGCGGCCCCGGCGGAGGGGCTGCCCCCGGCCGCAGCGGGAGCGCGACAGCCCCGTGGCAAAGCCGCAGCGTCCTCTCTGCCAGCTGTGCCACCCTGGGGCTAAGGGTAAGGAGCGAGTGCTCGCAGCAGAGTCCCGAGGATCCAGGCCTGCCCCAAGCATCTTGTTTCTGTGCCAGAGGGGCTCCCCGGGGTGGGATCTGCCTGGCCCAAAGGGTGGGGTTTGGGCAGCACTTGTTCCGCACAGCAGCAAGCGGGTGAGCTCTCCTGGTAAGGGCAGTCGAGCCCTAGAGAAGAGTCCAGGAAGGAATCGTTGCAGTGGTGGATCTGAGCTGCTCCCTGCAGCTCCATTCACCCAGCTCCAGGAGGAAGAGCTGCCCTGTGGGGCTGGTTCCCCTCCTGAAGGAGAGAGAGGGCCCTGAATGAATTCCCTTTCCCCTGGCTTGGTGCCTGCAGGGTAGGAAGGAAAGTCTGTGCTCTATGGTGCAAATGGCAACTCTACGTGCGTGCTCTGTCTGTTGCAGTCACCCCTTCACATCCATCACACTGCAATAAACCCTTTATCCCCAAAAGACGGGGCTCCAGGGGCAGGAGGGAGAAGGGGATAGGAGGGGACACAAGAAGGGGATACGAGGGGACACAAGACTGTTTCACCGTTCAGTATTTGACATTAGAACCTTAAACGTTCCTTGCTGAAGTGTGCAGAGCTGCACCACTTCATACCACCTGGGAGGTTGAGGTGAAACACTGGTTCTTTTTAGCCATCTGTATCTTTATGATTTAAGTCTTTGTGTGTCCGCTCTCTGCAAGTGGTGATGCTTGTTTCTGTTCTGACCATGAGCTGCAATGTGTCTACAACAGCACAGACCGCACTATCTTTTCCTCTGATACTTTATTTCCTATACCAACTAAACCCAGTAGAGGTGTATTTGTCATAAGTGATATTACTTATGTAAACCTTTTAAAAAGAACCTTTTTGGATGTGAGAAAACATCTGACTAGAGCCACTGTAGTTAATTATGTTGTAGGACTCGTGCAGATTTGTAGATGTCCCATTTATTCCTCAAGAAAAGTGGCATTGGGAGTGGTAATCACCAACTGCCAAAAGGGACTTTGGGAAGGAATGATGAAGAATTTTGCACCTTGTAAAGAGCCCTTGGGGCATGGCAGGGGAAGCCCTTGTCTGACGTGGTTTCTTCTCTGTGCTGTCAAACACAGGCTACTCCGTGATGCATCCTTCTTCCAGGTTCTAGAACAAAGATGGGCCTCGAGCCTCTGCTCCTCTATCTTCCTCCAATCTGCTGGGTAGGAGCCACTTTTGACTTGCCCTATTTGGAGTCACCCTGGTGAGTGGGAAGGCTGAGTAACCAATGTGCTTTTCCCAGTCTCTCTCTGGGGTTGAATGGGATGGTAGAGAAGGAAAAAGCGTGGCTGTAAGAGAAGGGGGTCATGGTGTAACCTAGAGACAGCTCCTGGGTAGAAAAAACTGAGGCTCCTCGTGTTTGTAGGAGGCCACAACTGAGCGGGGTGGTGGCACCTTAGTGGCCGCAGCTCCTGCTCCTGTGGTGAAGTGCTCTGAGCACTGCCCTATACTGCTGAGTGCAGGGAAAAAGGCTGGAACTGGGAAGGAAAAGGTGGAATGTTTCTTACGAACCGGTATGTTTCTGCCAAGCTGGAACCTCTCTGAATTCTTTCTACGAAGCGAGTTTATTTAATTGAGTCCCATTCTGGGGAGCGCTTTATCTCGTCCTGCATCAAGAACAACATTGGTTTCATTCCACTCGGGTTCCTGCTGGTAGACCCAAGGGTGCTGAACGGGAGGATCTGAGAGAAATGAGGGTTGCAGCTCCAGGGAAATACTGCCACAGATAACATGCCGTGCTCCATAAAAACCCTCCGAACCAGAGCACTCATACTCTATTTCTGGGAAAGAGGTTTTTGTTAATTGGATTCATCACCTCAACCTCCTCGCGGAGCAGAGACGTAGAAGGCTTGGCCGTCTCGTTCTGTTCGGTGTATGCTTTCTCATAGAGCTTTCTGTGCCCTTTTTAGGCTATGAATAAACTTTCTTTCATTGCGCTGCGTGATGTATTCCCCTGACAGCCAGTGCTCACATCTTCAATGGGTTTTCCATATCTTATGAATGGATTTAAATCAGACAGGCTGTAGATCATGTCCAGACTCAATTGCTAAACAAGAATTTTGTGAGGGAAAGTTTATTCTTGAACTCATACTAAGAGTTATTTCAGATCATGAAGCACTACCAAAATGGTGTATTTTTTACCAGAAGAATGCCAATTTAAAACACACAGATGTTAAAATGATCGGCTTGGAGAAAAGCGGGAGAGCATCACCTTGACACGGGTGTTTGGCAAACCCACCCATGTGGTTTAGCATTCACAGTTACTAGGTGGCCTCTGGTGGCTTGAGCAGTGACCTTTGGACCTTCCAAATGTAAAGAAAATAAGGGGCAGCAGCGTAGGATGATGTTTGCTGTCTATTGCCTCTCTTCTGTCTCTGTAAGCAGTGATATCTGGGTCCAACATTAAGCTTTTAAAACCATCTGAATGACGAGAGAGAGGCATATTTAAGCCTCGATCCAAAAGAAGGAGGAGGAGGAGGGAAAAAAAAAAAAGCTTTTAGGAAACATTATTGCTTGAAATTTGTGTTTTGCTGAATGGAATTCCAGATTTTCTGAACTTTGTGTGAAATCAGAGCAAGGCGCAGCAAAGACAAAACTTGAGATTCTCCCAATTCAGGAAAATCTCCAAAGTTAGTGAGGTGATATGCGTGGGTTTGGGGAGTTTTGTTTCATTTTGCTCATTTGGATTTGTTTTGTGATGGTTCTTTTTTGTTCGTTTGTGTGTTTGTTTGTTTTGCTCTGTTTGTTCAGTGTGGCAGAATGTTATTTCTCTTCCAAGTCCACAAGGACAAAGTGGGCACCTAACTCTCACTCATACCTTTGCAGATTTTCTCTCAAGCAGGAGATTAAATTGTGCTTAAAATCGGCTCCCTGCCAAATATACCTAAGAGCCTCTTGGAAATGAAATGCTCATGCTTGATCCAAAATCTGTTTGTGGATTTTTTTTTATTAATTTTTAAAGTGATATTTAGAGCTTTGAGTCAGGACTTGGAGTTATCCTGCTGCCTAGTAAAGGACAACGCAAGCCCTTGATTGAACGAGGAACTTTTAAAATGGATA